TCCGAATTTTTAAAATGTGACAATCTAATATCCTAGCTTTCAAAATATATCAATTCAGTATTTGCCATTAATAAGTCAGTTAATCAACCATTAAGTGACATTTGAAAAATAAAAAATGCCTAAGAATGCCATCTAATTATCTTTATCAATCATCCAAACATTGACAATAAAATGAACAGTCCCAAATTTTAGATTATTCTAAACAGTTACCAACTTTTTTGAGTATAAGAGGCTAGAATTTGGGACTTTTCAATTTTTTTTTGTCAACACTTGGATGATTGATAAAGAGAATTAGATGGCATTTGAATGACAGTTTTGACTTTTCAAATATCACTTAACAGTTGACTAACGGATTGGTTAATAGTAGATACTGTATTATTACATTTTGAAAATTCGGATACCAGATTATTGCATTTTAAAATTCGAGTACCAAATTGTCACTCGAGCCAACTGTATAGTGTGAAAACGAAATGATTCTCAAAATAAACAGACAGAAAATACATTCTTGATTACATGTATATTTTTGTTTCCAAAACTGGAAAAAAAAACGTCCTTTGGAGTTTTATTTTAAGGAAAACGTTTTCATCCGATGATTGTTATCATGTTTCAAGGAACGCAACTCCCTTCCCCACACCATAGCTACCTAGAAAGATGCAAGAGACTGGGCTTGAACTTTGATGTACAGACCATGGTCCAGGGCCGATGGCTTTTTTTCAAGGCTATTACCTAGCCTCTTATCCTCCATGAGGTTATTATTGATCTTTGTAACTCCAAAAAAAAAAAAAAAGAAAACCAATTTGTAAGTTGTAACATAATTGGAGAATAGTTTTTAAAAGATAAAAATACCACCCTAAAGACAAAGTATCGTTGCCAAAAATAATCTTGAACGTTACAAAAGCACAAATTAACGGTGTTCACCAAAGTGCTCAAAAGAGTACTAATCACATGAAGTCATGAACCCTAAGGACTTCCAACCCTGCATCCAATTATACATTGGGAATATCGGTGTTTTAAACTATAATTAATATTTGTGATGTACAGTAGGATGTGTATGGCCAGTAATGTGTGGTGGTCAATATATCCAAACTCTTGTATTGATGGACCTGCAAGTTAGGTCAGGGGGCAAAAATGGCTTATTTTGTATAATAACGGTTCCTAATTTAAATTAATAAAACTGGATTTTTGGTGCAAATAACCCTTTATTTTTGTAAAAAAAAAAACACTTTAAACCTTAAAGAATTAAAAGGGTCATTTTTACCCTAAAACTATGTTGGAAATGCCACTATAAGGCATAAACAGATGACATTAGAGAAACCAACAAAGCCTACTTTAGACCTGACTACTCAAGTGGCTGAGGGGTGTCAATTGGACTGGATTTGGTCTAATCCGATCCAGTCCAATGTGAGTCTATTATAAATGAACCAAGTCCAATCCAATCCAATAAATATTTTGGACCAATTTGGGTCGGTCCAATTCAATGTTTGGACCGTCCAATCTATTCAAATTCATTTTGATTTAGATTGGTTTCAACCCAAACCCGATCCATTGATGCATATATTCTTTATCTTATATCAATGGATTAAATATTGGCTTAATCCAACCCAATTCAATATAAATTTGTTATGGACGGACCAGGTCCAATCCAATCTAATAAATATTTTGGACCAGATTGGTCCAATCCAATATGTCTTGTTGTTCCGTCCAATCCATCCAAGTTGATTTTGGACTGGACAGGGTCCAATCCAAAACTGGTCCATTGACAGACTTAAGTGGGTCCCATTTAAAAAGTTTTGATTTATAATTTTCCAGGTATTAATTAAAAAGAAAAAATTGAAAGACTTTACTACTAAGGTAAACATAGTGGAAAGTAGAAGAGTTTTATGTATGTCCTGTTTGTTTTCTTCCCGTCCCAATTGACTTGGACATCTTTGTCGAGTAAACTGTAAACATAGTGGAAAATGTTTTAAGGCATCAACCTATGTTATTTGTTTATTTAGTTTGAAAGCACCCCTAAAACTTCAAATAAATAGAGTTTGATTTTCAGACCTATAAAAAAACGTTTGGCTTTAGTAGAATGAATAAGAGAGAACAATGGCATACAAGGTTCTTTGTCAGCAATTGTTTGCCTTCCTTCAAATAGACAACAAAATTTACCAAATAGAGTTGTTGCTTGTGCTTTACTAGGGGTAAGAATGATATTTCCATTTTTGTTATTTTGTATATTAAATTTGTTTGAATGGATGTTAAGGTCAAAACTGTCAATTTCCACTTTCATTTTATGGAAGGTTGAGTAAATTAGCTAAAAATTGAAGGAGGTGTTTTAGTAAAATGCAAATTATAAGGTAGAATTGGCTTTAGTAAGTCCAAGAAACTATTAGGGATGTTTTAGTAAATAACCCTTTGACCAAACAAGAAGTCCAAATCTTTGTCTTTAGGGTTAGATGAACCAACCCCTGCAAAGCTTCAAAAAAGGTATGGACATGATTCATGAGTACTTTAATTTCAATAATAAAACTAGAGAAGTACACTGCAGCCCAATGCAGAATTCTGAAATTACAACCCCCATATTCTACTAATAGCCCCCTCCCCCATAAACTGCATCCTGCTCGTAGATTTGGCATCAATGCACAGTCAGGATTCACCCCCCTATACGGTGGGGTTAAAGAATTCTGAGCTGGGTTGATCAATCGTTCTCCCATAAAACTAGTTAATGACCACCCCGTAGTACATGGCAATCACATCTATTGTTTTGTTTGGGAACCACTACCACATACCATGTTGGAATTCTTGTTTAATTCAAAGGAACTTCCACCTTTTTGTTGAGGCACGAGATGACCAATAATGAATCACTCTCGATTATAGTAGGATGCTCCCTATAGTTTGTTGCTTGAATATGTGCTTCCCAAGCAGCCCATGCTTCTGCTTGGTTGATGGTACATGTGCCAAGTTTATATGCTTTAACCGCTAGCACTTGACCAGGATGGTCATGAACAATACTTGTCATATAACATTTTCCATCACCGTTACCATAGGCATCAAAATTTATTTTAATAGTGCCAAATTTTGAAGCACTCTAAAAAAATGGCATCCACACTTTGTCCATTCAACAATGACTTTATCTTTGCTCCCATTAAGAAACTCCAAAAATATATCAAGAGCCCGTTCCAAAATAATTGGAATGAGAGTTGAAACATTATTGAAAGTTTTCAAGTTCCTATTTTTCTAGACAACCCAAAGAACAAAAACTAGTTGTTCATTTACTAAAACAATGAAAGACATTAAGCCATAAATTCAAAATCTTTATGATGATTATTTTATTTGAAGTAAGTGTTACAATCTTTTTATGACAATGATGATAATAAATAATATATTTTCAAAATTTTCTACAAATTTTTATAGCCACATCCACCTTGTATTGAGAACATCTTCCATAAATAACAAGATGAGTACCGAATGTTCCACATTATTACTCAAATAGTGCTATTCACAAATCCAGAATCCGATGTATTGCTAAAATATATTCTAGGGACAAGTAGACTGTACTGAGACCAAATCAGCCCCCCACAATGTCCCACAACACATCCCCGCCGTGTATTGGGAACATCTCCTGATGATAATCTCATAAATGATGATGTCATCATCGGGAGATATTCTCAATACCAACGTTTTTGAACCACCGTTGATTCGGACGTTCGGACCGTTCAGCCAAGGAATCGTCCAGGCAACCGGTTCCATTTTACCCAAAACCCAGAATCTGGTCAAAATTGTTGAAAAAGTCAACAAACCGTTGACCTGGGTGGTTGAACCATTGACTTGTCAACCCGTTCAATGTTTTTGACCTTTTTTTATTTTTTTAATTATTTTTAATTTTGTTATCAGAATGGGCCGTCCGTTCAAACCGGACGGTAAGGCCGTTGACCCAGAAACCGGTGCCCAAAACAGTTCAATTTCTGGGTTGTTTTTTAAAACGTTGCTCAATACAGAGCGGAGATATACCGTGGGACGTTGTGGAGGACAATCTTATGGGGGCTGATTTGAACTCGATTATACTCTCCCTTAAAAATCTGAAATTACAACCACCTCCTAACCTACTAATAGCCCCTATAAATCGTATCCCATAAATTTAGCATCAATCTACGGTCACGATTCATTCCACCCCTAAAGTGGAATTAAGATTCTAGAATCTGAAAATATTTCCAATGCGTAGCTGAACACATGCCGTGAGGACAATATCCGGAGGATTTGCTCCTCTCAAATCAAAGCGCATCTCACACAGCCCCATCAACCGTGTATTAGAACAGATGCGGACTCCTCTACTTCACTGAAGAGTTTGGAGCACAGACACTTGTCAGACACACACGCAAAGTCCGTGTCTTTTAGAAAACTAAAAAGTAGCAGTAAACGTAGTAAATAGTAAGCTAACCCTACTTAATTCAACTCAACAAATTACAGGCGGTCATTGTCACAGGTCTCATAGTATGGGGGTCTTTATAATTTACCCTTTATTTTATTATCTTTCGAAGTTATTGATCTAAATTCTGAACTGAAGTCCTAAGTACGAATATTTGGAATAGTTAATGATGCCTAATATGTTAACTTCGTTCTTATGGATCTGTCTCTCTCCTTTTCTCCCCCCTCCGTGTATTCGTAAATTTTAATCAAGAATAGTTGAACTTACAAGGTTTGAGGTCTCTCTCTCTCATATTTCCTTCTTATTTAATTTGTTTTTTAGGTTAAAAGTATGGAACTATGGATGGAGCTAGCAGGTATCCGTCTTAGGTCTGATTTCTTCTTCTTCTTCCTCTGGATTTCATTTGTTTCAAACTGCAATGGCGGCAAATAGTTCATGAATCATGATCGACGAAATTAGGTTTTCGGGTTTGAATTTGGTAGGGGAGGAGGATGTTGCCGGTTCTTGGGGGTAGTGATTTCCGGTGGCCTTAAAACATTATGGAGGTCTGTGTCCCGGTCTTCTAGAAAGTTGGTTGCACATTTTGACAATGGCAAAGATTGTGCAAAACGACATCCCACTGAGAACAATGGTGGGTTCTGATGATGTCGGAGAGTGGCCTCACGGCCATCACCCCCCAACCCCAAGTGGTAGAAGAGATAACAGAAGTATCAGGATCCAAGAGGGACTCTTGGGTTGAAACTCGATTTGCCCTCGTTCCAGAATTACTAGGATCCCAAGGGACTCCTGTTAAGAAAGACAGGATTGTATTATCCAAGAGGGACTCAGGCAGAATGGTATCATCCACGTTCTCAACTGCGTTGGCTTTATTTGCCCCGAATACATTAAGTCCGACCTCGAGTACAAGACGTTGTGGTTGCAGGATAGCCCTTCGGAGGACATCACCAGCATACTCCATGATGTATTCGATTACTTTGAGGACGTGAGGGAGCAGAGAGGGAAGGTTTTAGTCCACTGTTGTCAAGGTGTTTCTCGCTCCACGTCTTTGGTGATTGCATATCTCATGTGGAGGGAAGGACAGAGCTTTGATGATGCCTTTCAGTATGTCAAGGCAGCAAGGGGAATTGCAAACCCCAATATGGGATTCGCCTGCCAGTTATTGCAGTGCCAAAAGAGGGTCCATGCTATTCCACTGAGCCCCAGTTCGGTACTGAGGATGTATAGGATGGCACCGCATTCTTCCTATGATGCTCTTCATTCCATTCCAAAAATGTTGAATGATCCTTCTTTTGCCCTGGATTCAAGAGGAACATTTCTCATACATGTGCCTTCTGCTATCTACATCTGGATTAGTAGAAGATGTGAACCCATTATGGAAAGGGATGCAAAGGGTGCGGCTTTTCAGGTTGTTCGCTATGAGAAAGCGCAAGGCCCGATAATAACCGTCGAGGAAGGTGAAGAACCATCAGACTTGTGGGATGTCTTTTCCAATCTCCCACCTTCAGTTGGCAAGTCCAGCCACAGTCTGGAAATTGAATCAGCTAAGAATATTGTCCCCAGTGAGAGAAAAGTGGACTCCTATAATGTGGATTTTGAGCTTTTCTGTAAGGCAATCACTGGGGGTGTTGTTCCTCCATTTTCGTCTTCGGGGCCTGAACAAGAAACTCACCTTCCTGCAAGAGAAAGCAATTGGAGTGGTTTAAGGCGTAAGTTTATTTCGGACAGTGTGAAAGGGTTTGTCTCAACTCCTAAGGTGTCCATGTGTAGTCGTGTAGAGTCTATTCAGATTCACTATTGATGGTAGATCAGATGGTTATGTGAACAACAAAATTCCAAATTTGTTTGCCAAGTCATTACCATTATCACCATCACAATGGCCGTCTTCATCATCATCATTGCCTCCTTATCTTTCTCCAAGTTCCACCTCTTCTGATTCTAGCACTGGTTCCAGTTCTAGTTCAGAGTCGCCTCCAGCGTCTCCTTTGACCTCTAACATCTTCATGTTCTCTTGCAGCAATGACTGCTCCCTGTACATTGTCTAACTTGTCACTCCTTTCATCAAAGAAGTCTCCCATACCTAATGGCCCAGAAGGCCCTACGCTGAATCATACTTCAAATTCTTGTTCTCAGTCAACTTTATCATCCAAAAAACTTATTCTGCCCCTTGATGGAGGGGTGGTTTGTCTCCATCTCTGAAACTGCCAACTCTATCTGATGTTACCCCATTTTCGCATAGGGTGCAAAATGCTTCCTCAACTTCTCTTGCAACTCAACAAGATAGTATTGAGGGGGAGAGTGGAGCTTGTTTTTTGGGGAAATGCAAAGAGCAAGTTTTAAAGTCCAGTGAGGTGAGTAAAATGGAAGTGGAAGACAAAACACAAGAACGCCAACTGTAATCATGTTTAAGGGAGCTTGGTGGTGATCGCCCAAACAGTGTGGAAGGAGCATTGGGGAAAAACTATCCATTTTAAGAAAATTGGGATTTGCCCATCCTCTCCTGTGCAGCCTACTGTATGGCGGTGCCTGATTTAGAAAAAAATTGCAACATTTGGTGCTGGCAATCTGGATCCAGAAGCTGCTTTTCTTTTCTTAGTTGAAAGTATAGGTATAGGCAAGCATGATGTTAGGATTCTATATTTGTGGATAGGAAAATCTTTTCAACATGGTAGTATGCAGCTTCAGCTAGATGACCACAGAGACATAGGTGATATAGAAACTGGAATCAAGTTGGTTATTGCATTCTTACTAAAATGTGACTGTCAAAGGATATCTCCATTAAGGTATGGATAATGAATTATCCTTTTGTCAAATTATAAGTTTTGGCTCCTTCTTCCCAAATGTTTTAGTTTTAGATGAAGCTATTGCGGTGGTCTGCTTATTACTGGCTGAAAATTGAATGGTACCTTGTTATTATCTTATGCCTGGATGCTCTCATTTCTTGTTTCCATTGTAGATTACTTATCTGCTTCCGCTTGCTGTTGATTACAGGGACTATAGATTTCAATTTTTGTCTTGCTAACTTATAGCACCTGTGTTTCCCAAATGCAGTCAAAATGATTCGTTGTTGTCAAATGTGCTTGTTCTCTTTGATGTTATTATAATTAGTAGGGAGAGGGCCATGAGGGGGGGGGGAGTTTAGTTGGGGGCCAATTAAATTAGTAAGTTAAGATAGAGAGGGAACTGATAAAAAAAATGTTAAGATAGAGAAGGAGAGAGGAAATTAGTAGTATTATAACTAACTGTCTTCTCAAATTTTGCATTTAATTGTATTTATGGGTAATTGTCTCCCAAGGTTTTGGAATAATGTTGACTCTATAATAAATATCATGTTAGTTCTAATCTATATATATCTTGTACCGTCTTCAATATCTTTGGATTTGGTGTTCCTCCTGCCATCATCTATATATAGTGGAAAGTATAAATTACAATGATTTTGTTTGAGAGTTAATTGAAGTGACATGTGATCCCTGTCTCTCATGTACCTTGCATGCGGGGCCAAAATGTGACTAAGGGCAGCCCAGTGGATGAGGCCCCCACCAAAGCGGGGTCTGGGGAGGGGCAGATGTACGCAGCCTTACCCCTGCACATACAGAGAGACTTTCCAAGATTTGAACCCTGGTTACTCAGGTCGCAATGTGGGGCCAAAATGTGACTGAAATTCATAATTCTATTCCAAATCATAGAGAAGATTGAATGGAACGGAATCATGAATCTTATGTCAAATTATTAGATTGTTGATTCCATGCGGAGTTCAGCTTATATGATTCACAATAAACAATTGCTACCCCATTTCCATCCACATCCATCATATAAGTAACTGTTACTACTAATTTTGCCATTTGCACACTATTAAGGAGAGATGATATAAGAAAGTTCAGAGGTCAATAAGGCCAAGCATAGTGGTTCTTTTACATTTAACCTGTAAATTAATGGAGAATAAACTCAAGACTGTCTTTAAAAAGGATTTAAACAAACTCAAAAGTATTCTACATAATCCTTAATTCAATTGCATATATTGGATAAGTTGTAAGTTTTGAATCAACCAGAGGATTCACTTATAAAAAAAAAAAAATCAATCAGAGTATTCAAACAGTAATTGATGGATTTTGTCAAAAAAGGATTCAATTATAAGATTCCTGATGGTGCTTCTGGAGTATATGCAAGTCAGGTATCCACCTTAAAGAATTGACACAGCATCAGGCTCAGGCCCTTGGGCTGGGCCCATTCAATTGTAACAGACTCAACCTAAGCTTCGAAAATTGCAGCCCTATTGCATTCTCTTATGCTCTGGTTATGAGCATAATGATGTGGATGTGTAGTTCTTTACATGGTAGGATGAAATGAGGCAATGAGAGTGCACTTTGGCTTTGTTTGGTATAATCCTTTACCTTAACAGTGAAGTAGATAGAATACATACAACCCTAAATCTTTTTCTCCACCTTCCTTAAACCCTTTCTAATTCAATTTCTTCAGTTGTGTATCAGCACCCAAGAAAAAAAAATCTTATTACATGTTTCTTAGGCTCAATTTGTTTGAAATGAAATTTCAGTTGCACTAGTGCAAACACATGGGAATGCAAATAAATACTGCAAATTATTGTTCTCTTTTGCTTCGCTTTTTACTTTTCTTTGCTTCAGGTTATTACTGCAACTGTATTGCAAACAAACAAGACAAAATAAAAATCTAAAACAAAAACAAACCAAAATTTGATTTCCAGTCAACTCATAGACTTCCATACTCATGCACTGGTGCAAATGATTGGACTGCAAAAAAACTGGGTCTTATGGAAAAATTTCCTCGCATAAATAAATATCTAACTTTGGGATATTTGCACTAGATATTAGTGTCAAGTCCTGTTTCCCACACCTTCTACTTAGCAGTGTTTTAAAAGGTGTGGGAGGGTACGCCTGGAGGTGCCTCCAGGTGAGGCGCCCCCAAAATGCCCTGAGGTGTATTGCCTCATATGTTTTTTTCATGAGGCGTGCTAGAGGTGTATGCCTCATGCACACCTCATGTAAAAAGACAGAAAAAAAGAATAAAAAAGTAAAGGAAGGGAAAGGAAAAGAAAAAGAAGGGGAAGAAAAAGAAAGAAAGAGAAGAAAAAAAGAGAAAAAGAAAGAAAAGAAATAAAGAAAAATGAGATTTTTTTCCTCCTTCCTCCTCATCCCCCCTCCTCTTAAGGAGGCTTACGCCTCTTATGTTTTGAACTACGCCTAATGCCTCTAGGTAGTGGAATGCCTCATGTCACGCTCATGCCTCTGCGTTTTAAAACATTGCTATTTAGTTTTCTTACCTTCAACCTTCAAATGTTTGACCTCATGCTATGGTTAATGTCATCATGCATAATTTTTTGTTTATTTTTTCAAATAGGAAATCTAATCCCATATCCAGTAAAATGAGGGAAGAGGAGGAGCTTCAAATATATAAAATTAATAAGATATTTTACTGATAAAAAATGGAAAAATAAGAGCTATGCATATTAGTGTCAATGTAAAATTCGGTGGTCAAATTTGATGTGTAAACTGAAAGAGAGAGAGATATATCGAACATATGCACAGGTTTGTTAATGTGTTGGGGAACATTACTAGTATGCTTGATTTTAGAACCTATAGAAATGGAAACGTTTTATGGATCACATTAGGAAATGTTTTGATTTCTAAAACATTTATACGATAATAGATGTGTTAGAATAAATTTTATGGTTAGTAATTGAAGATTTTATTTGTATGTTATTCTTAGAAATAATTTTAGTGGATTCATTTACTGACCAGACCTCTGTTTCTGCATCCCACCCATTTGGATGCATCCTTTCTTGTTTGTGATGATTGATGCCATATATTCAAGGATTAAAGCATTGACACGATATGCCTGATACAAGATGTATTGTATTGGTTTCGAAGGCCACTGATATGTAAAATCAAGGGAGTTGGGTGGTATTAATAGTTTGAGCTGTTAATATCCATTTTAACAAATGTATTTTCAAATAACAAATTGAAAAAAAAAGTATTGAGCAATCAACATGCATGACACTCAATTTTTTTGGTGTTGTGTGTGTTGATATTTTGAACCTTGCATAGAGTTTGGTTCTCCTTGGAAGACCTCCACAATCGCTTATCAAGGAAAGACAATTTTTTTGTCTCATTTTTACCAATCCTTAATACACTATTCTATTTCTTGTTCACATGTTTCCTAATTTATCAACTGTTATTTAGTAGTGTTGCTTCCCATAGAAAGTCTCTCATGATAACATAGACTGCTGTTTTGAAAACTAAGGAAAAATAAACTAGCAGATAGGGAAAAGTATTTTATTGGTCTGTTGCTTGATGTTATTTTGTAGAATCTAGGGCAGAAGAGTGAAAACATAAATTTGAGTCTTTTAGTGGTCACTCCATGTAATAAGTCCTGGGAGGTTAGGTCTGTATCCAGTACATTCCTGCCAAGATCCTGAATAGCGAGGTATGTCACTGGGTAATTGCCCTTAAAGGAAAAAGTGGTATTGAGTCCATTGACTAGAGTGATCATCTAACCCCTAATACCGTCTATTAAAACACATAGTCTATCTATTTGAGGCTTTAGGGCAATAGAATACAAACTCATAACTTATTTCTTCTCTACATCCTTGTTTAGTGACTCGAATTTCATGTTGCAGTTTGAAATATAATTTGTGGAAATCTGTTTATTTTATTCATGAAAGAAAATTTGAGGGTTTCATGTTTCTGTTAGTCTGCTTTCCTTTTAAGATTTAGGTTAACCATCAATTTAGGGGATGTTTTGTATTCTGTTTGTTGTACCATTTCCGCATACTTCTATATGGCAACCATTGACAAACATGTTCACAATTTTACAAGTTTATGATCGTCTTGTAGATGTGGAGGCAGTCTTGTTGGTATGATGAGGCAATAAGTAGTTATTTTTCCCTCCCTAGTCGATGTAATGACTTGTTGATCAATAGGTTCTGATTAGTTGCCCAGAGAAAAGATGTTCTAAATTTATAATATTTGATGCAATGTCATATGTAAGTTCATCATCATCATCATCATCTAAGCCTTATCCCAACTATATGGAGTTGACTACATGAATCATGTTTCGTCATTCTGTTCTGTTTAGTCGCATATAAGTTAATATAGACTGTAAATATGCAGTAAAAGAAAAATTAAGAATGGAGTGGAAACCCCCAGAAGATAACAAAGTAAAACTGAACTTTGATGGGAGTTCTTATGGTAATCCAGGTTTATCAGGAATAAGAGTAATCAGAAGTTCTGAGAGTAGAATATTGGCTCTATTTTCAGGGCCAATTGGCATGGGTAACTCCCTAAAAGCTGAATTATTGGCACTGCTGCAAGGTCTTTGGTTGGCAAAACAACTGGTTATAGACAGGTGGAGGTAGAAGGGGACTCAAAGGTCGTTATCTCATGGGCAAATTGCAGCAGAAATATCCCTTGGATTCTCAAACATGTTTTAAGAGAAGTGGAAAGGATTGCAGAGGATATAAATACAGAATTCAAGTAGGTAAGGAGGACTGCAAATGGGCTAGCTGACTCTCTTGCCAAACAAGGGGTATTGAGGCAAGAACTGTTTTGGCCTTCTACGTAACTTTGATTTTGATAATTGGGGGTGACTCTCTTGTCATCAAGCTGTAGTAATCTTATTTATTTTCCAATTTAATAAAATTAATCCTCTTGTTGATAAAAGAAAATGCAGTAAAAGAATGATATGGAACATTAGTGTAAGGCTGGTTAGGCTGAGATAGGGAGCCGATCTTTGTTTCCCAAAGAAAGAGTAAGAAAGGATTTAAGTGCATATTTAATATATTAACATCTGCAATGAGCATTCAAGATATTTTAAATATCATATATG